AGGAGTAGAAGATCTACCTGAAGGAACTCATGATGTTCTTTTTTTGGGAGAGGGGAGTACACTCACCCTTGTGATGTCCTTGATGCACTTGTCCAAAGAGGGACTAAACAGGTGGTGTCCCTCGAAGGGCAGCTGCTCAAGGTGCTTCTTGCTGACCAGCATTTGTACCAAAGAATTGTACACATGTAGATGGAGAGGAGACCAACAAAGTATGCCTCTGCTGTTCACGCAGTAGCATAAGGCAACAGGTAAAAGCTCCACATGGTGGAGAACATAGGTATTCTTTAGGACATTGCTAGGGTCTTGAACCACGTGTTTAGTTAAAGCAGTAAGGGTCTAACAGATGTTCCTGGCAACAGCTTTAAAGAGGACCTCTGATCCCTTGTCCACTGAAAAATACAGGATTATTTTCAACAGAGACCGTTGATGTCTTAGTAAGACAGGAAATAACTTGGTCACACTGGGACCATACATTTCTGGACTAATAGCAAGTAGACTGGGAAATTCTTAGCAGGTTTGGGCAGTTTCAGGGAACCCATACTTGAGAAGTTGCAGATAAAACTTCTGACATTTATTAAAATATTGCACTTGCATTCAGGATAAAACAACTCGCCTTTAAGAACAGAGCATTGCGGCATGTACTTCCTTATTCCTAAGTCATCTGCCTTCGCTTATGCCCGTCGTGTTGCGTCACTGTCACTTGACTTCATCATTGTTTTATTCTGAATGTAAGTGCGATATTTTAATAAAAATTTTATCTACTTACTACACTGAGGCATATTTTCCTTTGGGCCAGGTAACTATTACCATCCTAAACGGTCAAATTGTTAAAGCTACCCTAACATTTACTTTAAGGAGAGGAGGAGTGGACAGTCCCTAGTGGCTGGAGGAGATAGACGCTAACAATGGAGATATTTTAATCACACAGTACAATACACATTGGAGGTGAGAGTTCTGAGAGCACTGAGGTGGCACTATAATGTATGAAATTCAGATGAAGCATGGATCTATATGTCAGATCATGCAATTTCTGGAATTAAATGAACTTTATATATTTATTTATATATTCTTTATATATTTATTTTATATACAGTGAAGGAAATAAGTATTTGATCCACTGCTGAATGTTTGCCCACTCACAAAGAAATGATCAGTCTAAAAATCTAATGGTAGGTGTATTGTAACACTGAGAGACAGAATAGCAACAAAAAAGAAATGCATGTCTAACAAATCATGCACTGATTTGCAAGTTCATGAGGGAAATAAGCATTTGATCCCCTATCATTCAGCAGGATTTATGGCTACCAGGTGTCTTTCATACAGGTAACAAGCTGAGATTAGAAGCAGTCTCTTAAAGGGATTGCTGCTAATCTCATTTTGTTACCTGTATAAAAGACACCTGTCCACAGGAGCAATCAAACAATCAGATTCCAAACTCTCCACCATGGCAAATACCAAAGAGCTGTCCAAGGATGTCAGGGACAAGATTGTAGACCTACACAAGGCTGGACTGGGCTACCAAACTATTGCTAAGCAGCTTGGTGAGAAGGTGACAACAGTTGGTGCAATCATTCGCAAATGGAAGAAACACAAAACAACTGTCAGTCTCCATAGGTCTGGTGCACCATGCAAGATCTCACCTCGTGGAGTGTCAATGATCATGAGAACACTGATGAATCTTCCCAGAACTACAGGTGATGATCTTTTCAATGATCTCCAGGCAGCTGAGACCACAGTCACCAAGAAAACAATTGGTAATACACTACGCCGACAAGGATTGAAATCCTGCAGTGCCCGCAAGATCCCTCTGCTCAAGAAAGCACATGTCCAGGCCCGTCTAAAGTTTGCCACTGAACATCTGAATGATGCAAAGGTGGACTGGTTGAAAGTGTTGTGGTCAAATGAGACCAAAATCGAGCTTTGGCATCAACTCAACTCGCTGTGTTTGGAGGAGGAGTAATGCTGCCTATGACCCCAAGATCAGCATCCCAACTGTCAAACATGGTGGTGGAAACATTCTGCTTTTGGGGGTGTTTTTCTGCTAAGGGGACAGGACAACTGCACCGCATCAAAGGGACGATAGACAGGGCAATGTACCGTCAAATCTTGGGTGAGAACCTTCTTCCCTCAGCCAGGGCATTGAAGATGGGTCGTGGATGGGTGTTCCAGCATGACAATGACCCAAAACACATGGCCAAGGCAACAAAGGAGTGGCTCGAGAAGAAACACATTAAGGTCCTGGAGTGCCCTACCCAGTCTCCAGTCCTTAATCCGATTGAAAATCTTTGGAGGGAGCTGAAAGTTCGAGTTGCCAAATGTCAGCCACCAAACCATAATGACTTGGAGAGGATCTGCCAAGAGGAGTTGGTCAAAATCTCTCCGAGATATGTGCAAACCTGGTGGCCAACTACAGGAAATGTCTGTCCTCTGTGATTGCCAACAAGGGATTAGCCACCAAGTACTAAGTCATGTTTTGTGAAAGGGGATCAAATACTTATTTTCCTCATGAACATGCAAATCAGTGCATAATTTGTTAGACATGCATTTCTTTTGAATTTTTTGTTGCTATTCTGTCTCTCAGTGTTACAATACACCTACCATTCGATTTTTAGACTGATCATTTCTTTGTGAGTGGGCAAACACTCAAAATCATCAGGGATCAAATACTTATTTAGCACTTTGTTATGAGTTTATTCACTATGGTTGTTTAGCATTTGATGGATTGATGTTTTATGCTTTCATCATTCACAATTTTCTGCCAGCAGCATTACATTACACACTACTAATATTTATCCAATGGTTACTCACCAAATTCACTGCTGCTGAGATACAAGGATGAAGCCTTCAGTGCTAAGCACTGTAGGCTGTTACCTAGGAAGTGTTCAGAGATGGCTGTGCTGTACTGAAGGGGCTGGGAGAGCATGCCAGAGGAAGCAAAAAGACCTGTGCTTGTGCAGTGAAGCTACCAGGTGCAGTAGTAGCTGCACATCAAACTTGTGACTAATTTTAAAAGTTAGCACTCTCACTCAATGGCTGAGACACAACATTTATGGTGTCCCAGCCTGGGCTCCACTACAGCCAAATTGTCATGCAGCACCAGCACCTTGGGTCATAAAACAGCTTAAGGCCTGTAACTTACTGTGGCAGAGGTCTTCTTACTCTGGGCAGAATGCATATCGACTGGCCCAATCCTGGCAGACCACTGCCCTGGACTTGCATAGCACTCTTCTGCTAATGGAACATAATGCACGCTGTGCCAAGGAGTGCACCTATGCAGGATACAGTGCCAGAAACACAATTATAGGCTGAACTCGCTTCCCACTTCTCTGGACAGGGTCCATGTATGGTTTCCCAAGGCTTAGCCGAGAAGTGAACTAATCAGGAAGCTGCAGAAAGAAACTGCACTGGCTACAGCACAGGTAGGAAGCTTGATAGAAGAATCTTGAGGAAACAACCTCAGCATAAAAAGAGGAAGCTTCTCTCACCTTAGGTCACAGGCAAAAAATTGAAAATTGCTAGAAGTCGGGGCTGTGTGTGTGTTTATGTGTGTCTGGAGGGGGGGCAGAGAGCGCAATTAGAAATGGTTATGACAAATCTACCATTATACAATCTAACTCAATCAATATGAAATTGCCCAGAAAATGTGTTAAAGATAACCAGTCACAATTGGAGTCAAAAGTCACCTGAAGTCTCACCATTGCCTCGACTTACATTCTGGGGTGGTTTTACTAAAGGCAAATAGACTATGCACTGTGGAAGGGCAGTTGCACTCATTTTCTGCAGAGCTTAGTGAATGTGGTAAAGCTCTGCTGATTTCCATGATCCCATCATGTGGAAGTAAAACATTTTTATTTTCCTTCCTCCTGATTGGGCATTCTTTGCAAAGTGAAACTTCACATTTATTTAAACTCTGTGGAAAACGAGTCCAACTGCCTCTAAACTTTTGATTGAACTTAAAAGTATAACAGTTTCACAGTACATAATAAACGCTATATTTTATATTTAACCTCCTCACTCCCTGACATATGTACTGTACATGCAAATTCATAGAGGTATACATAGTGAGAATTGGCTTGAAGCAATTAAAACACTTCATTCAGTAGACTGGTTCCAGTTACTCTTCACTAATGACTATATCTGATATGTAGAGAGTGGCAAATTGGGTAGACTCTGGTCACAATCAGTTTAGGATGACTGAACCACATACTCTTATGGTAATGATCGCTGTACAAGGATCAGTAAACATAAGATGCAACAACCAAAATTTTTACTTGAATTAGGCTAGACAGCATAAAATAACAAGTACTTCCAGATTAGGAAGTCTTTTTTACGCTTCCTCCCTATTCCCACACTTTCATATGTGACACTTTCCTACAATTTTACCCCTCCAAGGTGCCTAGCATGACACATCACGTGCCCTGAAATCTTCTGAATTCTGAACAGTGGTAACCACACCTGCGCACCGTGGTTCATTCACTTCAACAGAAAGCTTGACCACAGCCTAACAAGAATTAGGGGGGTAGAGAGAATTGAAATAAGTATACAAAAATTGCATTTAGCCTTTGAATTTTAAACTCCCTCCTGAGCATACATGGGTTTGCAAATGCTTATAGCGCATTAAACCTATCATGTCAATATGCATACAATATAAAAACCTCTTTAAAATAACTTTTCCATTTTTACCAACAAAGGACTTTAATTTGTTAGGTTTTGGGGAAAAATGAAGACTTGTTTAAGATAATTTTGAAACAGTAAAAAAAGCACATAAAAGTGATACAACACACATAAAAGTGATATAGATCTCATGCCTGATGTACCAAAGCAGGTTTTAACTGATTACTTTCAACAGAGGAAACTTCAGACAACTTCATGTTTTGGCTGCTAAAAGATCAAACAAGACTGCTATGTTTTGCATGTTACTGCAGTAGCGTTTAGCTGGAGGGCATATACAGCTCTTCGTGAAACTGTTTCTTTACCCAAGCAAGACAAATGATCTTTACCTGCAGACTTGTCCATCACACAGTAATCAGGAGAATTTTCAAAATAGACAAGGTCCTTTTTAGTGGGTTTTCTGAAGTCTTGATTGGCTACTGTGAAGCTAGTACCATCTTGATTCATGGTGACCTGGATTGCCCCGTTGTATTTTCTTCTGAGATAGTCTCCTGTCTTTCGAAAATCTGACATGGCTCGCCAACAAGTCCTTAATGTGCATGACCCACTGACCCCATGGCACTTACATTCAAGCTTCATAAAACGTTTTACTGCCTGCAGGAAAGAGGATAGGGATTACTGTGTAACTTTTACATAGAAATACAGCTATCGAAGCACTTTTATACCCATATAGTACTATCTCATTCATAAGGTCATGAGAGAAGTCCATTGAGTGTGACCGTTAATGAACAAAAACAAGGGCATTTAATACGTTAATCTGTAGTTTAAACCTTTAATCTGTAGTTCAAGAAAAACCCTCTGAAAGCATGGGACAATTTTCCTTTAGCAGGGTAAAATCTTTTGTATCCATGTAAAGCAACTGGATATTATCCCTAAATCAGTGCTCTACTAAGCATTTCTTATAAATACAACAAATTATTTATATTCTGCACTTTTAGAAACACATATAACCTAGAGATAGTTAATATGTGAAAGACTATTCACTTTTTTTTTTAAAACTCCTATTGTAATGAACCCTACTATATCTGTATGTGAATCTTAAATCTATTATGTAATAATTACATAGAATGCCCCCTGAATCCATATATGCACTTATTTGTGCCCTTTCCAATTTCTGGAAATCCTATTTACAAATTGATACCCTCATTAGAACTCTGTTCAAGATGAGTTTGTATTTGTATAATGTGCCAAAATGTCTTTTTTTTTTTAAATTAAAAAAACCCTGATAGCTTTGGAAGCTGCAGATTGAGTTTGAATGCTTCTATTAAGTCTATGATTTACAGGGACGCCAGATCTTTTCCCACCATTGAATGCTCACTTGTATCTCCCCTTTGTTAAACGCTTGTTTTTTAGATCCCAAACACAAAAAATTTGTCCACACTGCGTCTCATTTTTGGGTCAGTTTGTGAATTGAATACAACTTTCAAGGATTATATTCCACTACTAAACATTGTTGTATACTAACATAAAAACTTTACTGAATCCCAATTTTAGTTAAAGATGTAGAGAATAATAGCCCATAATTAAACCTTGGACAACCCTACTTGCACCGTTAGTATGAATTATTAACTGCAGATCTGTATGTGAAGTTTGAGCTAGGCTTATTACAAAATGATTGGATTGACATGGATATGTTTGCCAACATCTGTCCGTCTCATAAATCTATTAGGGATGACCTTTGGGTTCAGGTCGGACACCCAAGTTGTTTGCTGTTAAACAAAATGGTGAACTAAAGTGTGAACTAATATGTTCACATATTTAGCAACCAATTAACAATAATGCCCATCCTGGCCCCTGAATTGTAGCCTGGTGGCTTGGAAGAGTCAATCTTGGGGGTTTTCTTATGAATCATTCCCTCCCTTTAAAAAGTCAGGATTTCCAGCAGCCTTTTGTAGACATCTGCAGGACAAAAACAATTGTTTCATTTTGATTTATATTGAAATAATTTTGTTTCGTTATATTAATTTAATTTTTTAAATTTGTTTTCGGATTTCTTTTTTATTTTTGAATTCAGTTCGAATTCAATTTGACAAAATTCAGAAAATTCAATTTGGCATTCAAATTTATTCTATTCGAAATTTGAATTTCGGAAGACGGTTATAGTCTTTCTATTCTATTGTATTGTTTATTTTATTCTATTCTCTTTTTCTTTTCTATTCTTATCTGTTCTATTCTAATGTGTTAGAATTTATTCTATTCTAAATTTGAATTTCAGAAGATGGTTATATTATTTCTATTTAATTCTATTCTATTGTCTTTTCTTTACATTCTATTTTTTCTGTTCTATTCTTTTCTAATCTATTCTATTCAAATTCTAATTTGTCCTATTGAAAATTTGAATTTCGGAAAACAGTTATATTCTTTCCATATAATTTTTTTGTTTATTCTCTTCTATTGTTTTTTTATTCTTTTCTATTCTATTCTAATCTATTTTATTCAAAATCCGAATTTCGGAAAACAGTTATATGCTTTATATTTTATTATATTCTATTGTTTTTTCTGTTCTATTCTGTTCTGTTCTATTATATTCTTTTCTATTCCGTTCTTGTCTACTCTATTCTTTTCTATTCTATTCAAATTCAAATGTATTCTATTCCACATTCAGGTTTCAGAAGACAGTTATATTCTTTCTATTTTACTGTATTCTCTTCATTGTTTTTTTTCTATTTTATTCTATTTTATTCTTTTCTAGTTTATTCTATTATTTTCTATTTTAGTCTAATCTGTTCTATTCGAATCCAAATTTATTTTATTAGAAATTTGAAGACCGTTATAGTCTTTTTATTTATTCTATTCTACTTTTTTTTCTATTCTTTCCTATTTTATTCTAACCTATCCTATTTGCATTCAAATGTATTCTATTTGAAATTTGAATTTCGGAAGACAGTTTTATTCTTTCTATGTTATTCTTTTCTGTTGTTTTTTTCTATTCTATATGATTCTATTCTTTTCCATTCCTTTCTAATCTATTCTATTCTTTTATGTTGCATTCTTTTCTATTGTTTTTCTGTTCTATACTTTTATATTCTATCTATTCTAATCTATTCTTTTCTTTTCTATCCTATACTTTTCGTATTCAAATTCAAATAAAATGTTATCCAAATTTCATTTTGTTAATTCGGATACCTCCAAACTGAACCGCACTTGTGTAGCCTTTTGTCAGTGTGTGTTCGGAAGAGAAATAGAGTTAGTTATGGACAGATTGTTTGCAGGGAGAGATAGCTGCTGCTGATTGATAGAAATGGCTATATTTATATTGAGTAGCAGACACACTCCCTTTTTGTTGGACATTTCTGGTGTAAATAGGGAGCATTAGTTGCTGCTGCTGATTGGTGAAAACTGTTATATTTACATTGAGTCACAGATGTATTGTGAGTGACTTGGACAGATCTGGGGCAGATATGGATAGATCACAGAGTCTGTGAAGGGAGAGCTGGTTGCTGCTGGTGATTGGTGAAAACTGCTATATTTACATTGAGACATAGACACACTCACTGTGTGTTGGATCACACAGGGATATGGCATATAATCTGTACAGGGAGAGATAGTTGCTGCTGCTGCTGCTGATTGCTGAAAATTGCTATATTTATATATCAAGACACATTCACTATGTGTTGTACCATCTTGGAGTAGATAGGGATAGATCACAGAGTTTGTGCAGGGAGGGATAATACCTGTTAGATTTTTTTCATTCATCCTGCGGGTTGAACAAACAAACAAAAAAAGCAACAGATTCTTCCATCCAAGCTAACATCCTTGTTGGACAAATTCTCCTGTGGGATATTGTATTCTGACATCCCGAACAATGGGATGGGATGAAGCCGCTGTCTGTCTGACAATTTACATCCCAGCTCCTTCAATTTTTCAGTGAAAGGATGTCGGGTGGGAAGGGGGCCAACAGAACCACACATGGAAGGAATTTCAGTTGCGTCTTGTGATGACATTCACACAGTTTATGGCAAGCTATAGTTTCTGCAGTCAGAGTGCATTGGGGACAATTAGAATACATAGGGATAGACCACACAGTATTTGCAGTGAGGGATACTTATTTGTGTGTCTCAGTAACAATTTCAGTTGCTGTTTAGCTGACCACCCTCTTTGTTTTTTCTTTGGCTGTTTTTTCACATTATTTATTTCATATTTCAAATATATCATATTTGTTTTTTACTTTCAGTTCGGTTTAAATCGATACAGATCGGGGTTTAGTGTTTAGTAAAAATGTCTAAATACTGTGCACAGAGTCACAACAATTTGCTCTCTAATGCTTTAATGTTGATTTGTGAGTAAAAACTCAAGGATTTTGAACAGTCAACTGGAACCTTGATTGCGTACTCATCCACTGACATCTGATACCGGTACATCCCTTAATCACTGTACCTACTAGACCCGCGGTGCTCTTTTTTTCTTTACTCTCTTTTCTCTTGCTTTCCCTTTCCTCTGACCATTCATTTGCATTAAGTAAGTTAACTAGGCTGTTTTTTAACTTTTGCTACTGTGGAACTCTAAATAAGCCTGTCCACGTATGCCGGGACCTCACTTGTATAGCCCAAGTCTATCTTTCTGCTCCAACTTGTATTTACCATTATGTTGCCTTCAGCCTTACACTTCTTGAGTACCTTTAATTGAGTTTGTTTTGCATAGCAGCATTTGTAACAGGAATGTTCAATATGATGTACTCTGTTCTCTATTTCGATTAATAATATTGAAGAAGAAAAACTTGGTTAGTTTCTCTCCTGTGCAAACTTTAGCCTAGTGCAACTGCTTAAATCTTGTGTACATAGTCTTGAGATTTTGGTGGTCTTTTCATTGAAACAAATACTCTTGAATGTTATTTTTTTTATTAAAGGATGGCTGGTGTTTCTCCTGGGTAAAATGAGCCCTGGTACAAATACTTAATACTTTCATGGAGTCACCATAATATTTTGCTGGCTTTATTCAGTGAAATAAATAAGCCCTAATGTCAATCTTTTAAAAAACACTGGCTTGTACATCTGCTTACATACAGTGTATAGAGTTACTACAATGTTGCTAGCTTTTTTTCCAGTGAAATAAATACACAACAATGTTGATTTATGCATTCAAATTGGGGTAATGTTTCTCATAACTAGTAAAAGTGCTTATATACTGGTATGTACAGGTTCACCACAATATATTGCTGTCTTTTTCAGCGAAAAAATTGTCATGCTTCCTGTCTTAGAGTGTCTCCATTCTGGATGAAGGAGCAACAAAGACACCTTTGGATAGCAGCATTGTCAATATGGCCTGAGGGCAGTGTTAGATTCAGAAACAAACTTAGAGGGACTTGACTAACAAATGAAAGCTGAACTGTAGTTAACACTTTTTAAGCAGTTACAGCTAAATTTTTTGGCATTTTGGGATAAAGTTTTTACAGAAGTGAATAAAAGCTAACCATTGTAAGCACCCCTAACAGTGGTAAATTGTTTGTCTCAACCCTCTAACTGCCACTTTTGCTACACAGCTTGGTCTAAATTAAAGCAAAACACAAAAAAAGAAAACGCCAACACATTTAAGAATTGGTAAACTACAATATATTACATTTTTGTTTTTGGGTTTTGATACCCTCTAACCCTAATATACATTTTTTTAAGCTGACTCTACTGTGCATGGACTTACAGTATTAAATCACTATTTTTTTCAGTGCTACAAATACATTCTAATGTAGATTTAAAAAAAAAATTAATAAAACCTAGCTAGCGTCATTGATGTTTAAAATATGATATAGTACAGGTGCTTAAACATGGGCATGGAGACACGACAATAGTTTGCTGTCTTTTTTTCAGTAAATTCAACCCTAATGCTGATTTTTGCGATTAAAAGCTGGCTAGTGTCTCTCCTGTTCAAAATGCAGCCTATTAATAGTGATTAAATAGTGTGCACATTGCCAGTACAATATTTTGCTGTCTTTTTTTCAGTGAAATAAATACAGTCATTTTGTAATGGTTGTGTGAAATAATATGCTGTCATTTTTATTTCTTAATAAAACATGCATTCTTTGTTTTTTAATTGTTACCTAGTAAAGCTGCCTTTCTGGCTGTTTTCTGTGAAATCTTTTTTTCCAATTTAAAAATGGATGCATACTTTTTCTTTGATGGCTTTAATAAAAAAAAAACACATATCTTCATTTAACTGCTCTAAAAGGGAATCCCCAGTCACTTTGCTTGCAAACAGAAGTAAGAAGCCAAATCTATCATTTACAGGCAATATTATCAGCATTTTTTGTTTTGGAAATGTCATTTTTGCTGTAGTAAGTTGTATACATCATACAGATGAATCACTTAACAGGCAAAATAAGGACATTATTCAGGAATGGTATTTAAAGGAATTTTTAATATATTTAAACATTATTAAAATTGCTGCTCCCCACCAAACAGAATAAAAAAAAAAGTTTTTTTTTATTATTTTACATGCCATTTGCTTGGCAATCACTTGCCTTTTAGCCTAGACATTACTGGGTTATACTCTTGCTATTACCAAGCAATAGCAGCATGTACTGTATATTGGACATTGTTCTAATAAGTTTACTAATTTAAGGTATTTCAGATTGGAATTCCATGATGATTGATCAAGTCAATGCAAAAGACCTTTATCTTTTTTTTTTATCTTTTTTTTGCATTTTTAGTCAATAACTGGTTGTTTGGTCCTTTTCACCACTTAAAGTGGAATTAAACCCCCAAAAATGTAATATATTGCAGCTTACCAATCATGATCCTGTCTTCTCTGATCCTCCCCTTCTTCTGTCCCCAGTCCACCTGCTGATAGTACAGAAATCTAGGAGTCACTCTGCATATGCTCAGTTTAGTGTGTAAGGCTAGGGAGGTTTTTTTTTCCTCTTTGGAAGGGTGCATGTGACCAGCACGGGGCCAATCGGCCCTGTCCATACAGAGGGTCAGGGTTATACAGCCTCATAGGACAATCAGAGCAGAATGAAAACTCCTCCTACAAGCTTTAACCAGTGCTCAGCTGGACACTGATAGAAGTCACAAGACTACTATATATTGCTGATGAGAAAAGGTATTTAGCAGTTTATACTTACTAAAATAATTGCATTTCCATGTTCTGTGTACTGCTGCGGGAAACCAGATATAGTGAATGCAGGGTCACGGGTTTTGTAACACTTTAAATGTGCCAGTGAGACAAATGGCCAACTTTTTCCCATATGTCTGATCCCTCTGTGTCAACCAATTTTGTTAAATATTTATTGTCCCACAATGGGGAATATTTATTGAAGCCCTGATATTAAAGGATAGAGGTCATATTCAGGCAAGTGCTGTTGTATAAGCCACAGTATGAATTGGGTGGCGTATATGTTTTTAGGACAGCATCAGACTTGAATGGTAAACTGCCATCTTGTGCTTGTCCATATAGCACCAGAAAAAAAAAGGAACAGTTCTTTCCTTGTAAACATGATAAGAATATTGGATGAATGATATCTTTTTTTTTCAAGCTCAAGTCTCATAAAATGAATAGTTTACTAGAGTTATGAAAATTCTCGTAAGACAAAATACAACTCCCATGATGATGTAATGCAGTGTTTCTCAATCGGGGTTCCTCGGAGAAGTCCCCAGGGGTTTTTTCCGTGAAAAAGCAACATTATGGCGAATGTATACCGACTAATATTGTTTCCAGTGTTGTTCGCAGTGCTCTCTGATAGTCAGTAGAGTCAGCGCGAATTGATACCCAAAGCCTTCTCTATAGTTCCGGCCCCTATAAAATCGGAGGGTGGGTCCAGGAGTAGTAATGCAGAGTGCAGGAGCTGAAGAAGGAGGTGGCGGCTTTCTGTAACAGCAGTGAGCACAGAGCGGGAACATGTGGCTTGGTTTGGGAGGTGAGATCATACAGCTACAGAGACACAGAGTCAAAGGGGTGGTGGTGGGATAAGGGCACAGAGCCACTAGCCGCCGAAGCACATGGCTGGATCAGGAGGCGCTATCCTGTTACAGCCGAAGTATTGCAGAGTGTAGGGAGGAGGAAGCAGAGGGCCACCAGAGCATGTGGCTCTATGGGAGGTGAGATTTGTATGGGAGGCAAGAGTGCTAGAGGAGAAAGGAGGCAGGAGGTGACATCCAGTGTATGACAGCAGTGAAGCAGACTGCAGAGAGCTGGAGCACATAGTTGGATCACACTGAATGTAGCAAAATGTGAGATGATACTAGCTTTTTGTTATTATACCATAAATGTACTGTACATAAAACTATTATGAGCTCACCTCCTGCTACATTCAGTCTCATTCAGCCACAAGCTCCCCCTCTCTGCATTCAGCACTGCCATACACTGAATACCACCTCCTCATCCAGCCATGTGCTTCATCTACAGCACACTGATCAGATTCAATGTTCCGTGAGCTTTAGATCTGAAAATTTTTTCAGGGGTTCCCTGAGATCTCACACTTTTTTTGCAAAGGGTTCCTTGAAGGCAAAACGGTTGAGAAACACTGATGTAATGTATTGTATTGTATTGTAATGCATTCTTTCGTTTCTGAGCATGTGCAGTCTTGATCATTGAATTTTTTATGGACGAATACTGCACTGATTAAACAAAAATTGTTTGTTCTGTTATCGTACAAGATTGTCCTGTCAGATCATTTTACATGAACTGTCATGATTGGCTCTCAAAAGCTGTATACTGATGATCAGATTATCAGACAAAAGCGGTATTTTTAGTCTGACTTTCTCATCGTGTGTACTAAGCTTTAGATGCAAACAAGTAATAAATATGATTCTAGTTTAAACTATAGATTGCTCTGGTAACCATTAATAATTAGTGAAATTAAGAATGACAATCTATTGTATCAGGCAAGCCAGGAATCTAAAATATCCTATTTGCAGCTGAAACTACAATATGGGCATATGAAATTTGGCAGATTAATGTCTCCCATAACCACTCTCCTCTTTAGATGTTATCTTATGGCTCCCTTTGAAACCATAACTGTTTATTCTCTTTGAGCTAGAGGATCATAAATTACCCAGCATCGAAATATATTTATGGCACAAAATATTTCTGCTTTAACCCCCAGTGGTTTCTTTCCAAACAACGTTAGTAGTTTAAAAAGTTTAGATCTGTTTTCCCGAGAATGGGATACATGTACACATCTGGAACAAGGAAGGAGTGATGTCTCGTTCTGTACTTCTATATATATATTTTTTTTTTGTGTCAGTGGAGAGAAATTATAAGCTTGAAGAGCCAGTTGGTTTAATTCCTAGATAAATCTGCTAAACAGAGTATTCATCACTATTGATCATACACGAGGATTTATCGACTTTATGAAACATTCCTGATCACTGTTTATTTAGGGAATATAATATTCATTAAAAGAGTCTGAAGATTTACAGGAACTCACCATCCTTCCAACGCGGTTATTGTGCAAGTTCATCAAGGCTCGAGCATCCCTTACTCTTCTTTCCTTGGCGTCTACAAAGTCCTTGGCAAATTCAATCCCAAAATCGATATTGTCACTACACCCTCCCCAGTCAAAGTCTCCTTTCTTGTCCTTGGATCGCCCTCGCTTTTTTGGATCACAGCTGCAGGATTTCAGTTCTCCTTGGCTGCAAGCTCTAGTAATGGCATAAACAACACCAGCATAGGAAATTGCATAGACAAATGCTGCTTCTCGACTACCTGCAAAAAAAAAAAAATACAGAAAGTGGGGTTACTTTTATGCAGTGAAAATTTTCTGTTTGGTCAATTAAAAACTGATTGTTGAACATACGGCTTTTCTGGTAATTTTTTTTTTCAAGTACCATTATGGGCTCACAAGGGTCAGGACTGAGTAGACAATCACAGAATGGCAGAGTCAAGACTTTGGATCTTGTGAATAAAAATCAGAAGTAAGAACATTTTTATTTATTGTTCATAGTATTCAATAGTCAAAAATATTCTTAATTTCTTTCTTTCATATTGCACTGCTGACAAGTTATGGACAGTAAGAGCTGTTTAATACCTGTATGCAAGATCACTTGCCAGACTTAGGCAAGTAATTTAACAGTGGTCATAAATTCTGTAAAACCTACCCCAACCTGCCTAAACCTGGCAATCCCTGGCATTTTATGGGAATATGTTTTTTTTTTATGTTTTTCAATAAACATGCTAAGTTATCTCAACAATATGCTTTAGAATGTGACTAAAGCCATTTTTTGGGGGGAGGGGGGTTGGGATCTGTAGATAGAGCTTTGGATAGAGTGGAGATGGATAAGAACAACTCTCAGATTTTTTTGTTGTCTGTGCCCCTGTTATGGAGATTCACCCACTCTATTTATCCTGTTTACCGTTATCTTCAAAAGTAAATCAAAATCCCAAATTTTGGGTTGACATCAGAACAAGAATAGAGGGGAAATCTACCAATAGATAACCTGTTTTGGCAATGGGACACAAAACTAAGGGAAATCTCCGCAATGGGACACAGATGGTAAAAAAAACTGACAGGGCTTGTAACCCTTCTTTACTCTGTTCAAATTGAAAAAAACAAATTTTACCTTTAGTGACACATTAATGATTCAAAAACCTTGTATGAATAGTTTGTAACTATTTATGTAGATGTAGATGTAGACAGCCATATTTCCTTTTCCATACGACAACATAAAAAACAGCAATGTCTACTTTTTTAGGTGCTGATGTCCTTTGTATTAGACAGGCCATTAATTTTAAAGGAGGTGTCAACACATCTCAACTGCATGTGCATCATATAGGCTGGAATACACATACTTCAAAATTTAAGCATTTAATATGCTTTCCTCTGGAGAGTGCAAATTCTAATTGGCATTTACAACCCCACAAAGGCCCCATCTATGCAAAAAAAAAATAATTGAAAACATTACTTGCATTTAGAGGGTTAGTTTCTTCATGGTTTAATCAGAATGTAAATAAGTAGGCTGTTTTATAGGAGTTGAGAATTGTCATACAACAAATTGTGTGAATACTCATCTCACTTATCCAGTCACGTGAAAAGCAAATTCCTATTCGCTTTGAATACCAAATAATGTACAAAAAGGTAAATATAAATTAACTTTTTACTTGATTGGATTATTGAAATGAATATTCACACAAAAGATTCTTAACTACTTTAGTAAACTAGCTTCAATATCTTTGCAGAGTTACCTTCATCAGATGCATTTGCCAAATAAACCACAAAAAAACTAGCTCTCTAAAACTATTTCAAAGCAGCAATCAACAATTTGGTGCTGAAGTCCTATTCACTTGTATGTTTCCTTTCAGTGAGCCCCCTATCAAAGCTAGCATCTAATGTGGATGCCAACCAAGGTATTTTTAAGCAGTCACTTGATGCACATCTGCATCTTATTGGCTGTGTATATGTAGACAATGGCAAAATATAATTGAGGCATTGGCTGCAACTCTCTGTTCGACCTAAGCAGCCACACCAATGACCAGTTATTCCTTTATTTTTAATTAGTGTCAATTAGAAGGAGGAATTTAATAAAAATAGAAAAACCAGCAGTGTAAGTCTAACTATGCACGTCTATCACATATCATCTATAAACTATTTTAAGTCCAATGGGATAGTCATATTTATATAACAGTACTAATGTATATTTCAAGGAAAGGGAACTTTTCAGGGAAAGGAAAAGAAGAGAGAGGTTAGAAACAGGTAATGGAAACATCTGCTCTGTGATGGAAATATATGCTTTAGAATAGTGATGGGTACATTTTCAGTAGGGGTCCACACAGCACAAATGTGGAATGGTCTCTCTTGAGTGTAGTAATATGTCCTATTTGGTCTGGAATTATGGGTTTCACATAAACATGTTCTGCTGACAGAATAGTTGTCTAATGACCATAAGGATATTAACATTTGCAGCTGGATACTACTGGTTAGCACTTTATGTATTTTATTAATTTTCAAATATGTGGTCATACACAATATTTCTCTCTTGAATATAATGCATTACAGCTGTGGATCATCTTCCTATCTTCTCCTGGGGAGATTCACTCAATTGATTGGCTTTTATCTTCTACCACTGAACATCCTCAGGAATCACAAATCTCAAATGCCCCATAAATCCATGCAAATAATGAAAACAAAATTCCAAGCCTCTTGTGGACATGGCATAAAATGTTATAAAAAACATAAAATGTTGTTTAATTCACAGATATTTTTGAAGAGATTCAAAGAGTTGTGAAATCGCAATAAATAAGAAACATGAGGGTGTCAAACCTACTTGTCAAGACTAAAAAATGCATATAAGGTCCCATGTTCTGGAACTATATATTTCTCCAGGAAATTAAAATTCTGCCCAATAGGGAAGATCATTTAACAGCACGTTTTAGGGTAATCTCAAATACTTACGAAACACATAAGCCACAGGAGACAGCTTGTTGACAAGTCCTATAAAACTGATACATGGATTCCCATTACCCACCCACTTATTTTTCCCATTATACCATAAAGAATTCCTGATTATGTCACTGAGAAGAAAAGGTTTGGCTTTACATATGGGACACACTGGCACAGATTGATTTTACTGCACATGAATTACCTCATAAACAGCACAATGTGAACAAAAATGTGACATTAAACATACTTACTCTAACTTTTAGCAATTAAATAATATTCTCATGGTCCAGTCCTTTACATTATGTACACAATTACTAATAGAGCATAATTAATATGTCTAATATTCATAAATATAACAATCATTAAGCCAGTGTACTTTAGTAGTTGGACCATGAGATCTAGCTGCTGATCTGTGGAGTTCACTTTTTTCACTTAGTGAATAAGGTGAAGTTTGTGTTAATTTCAATCATTCAATCATGTGAAAGCAAAAATCCAGTTTTTTAGTTTTCCTTGCTCATGATTGGGTATTCTTTCCATAGTGAATTTTTAGTTAGATGCATCTTATTCACTAAGCTATGTGAAAATTCACAGAAAATTCATGTAAAGTGAACATGCACTATTCCTTCAGTAAATCAATCTGTGCAGTGCAATGTCAACTAGCGTCAAGGCAAAAATGTGTCCCCCTCCTGCCTATCAGACAACTCCCCTCCCCCTAGTTGGATGGAGAAGGTGATGGGGCCAGTAGATGTAGGTGCAAAAATGTTTGCAATGTTTGTGGCATGCAACGAAAGTAAGTATAAAACGTTTCAGCTGCTTTAGTGTTAATGAAATTAACAACAGGTGCACTAAATGGGCAACAATGGGACGCCCCCAAAACAGGAATGGTTTTACAGGTGGGGGCCACTGACGTGTTTTTCCCTACTTATCTTTTCTGACTGTTGTTCACTAGTTTGGCATTTGGCTAGGGCAGTCCAAATCCAACAGGATGGCACATCAATACATGCCATTTCCAGAAGGTTTTATAGTCTCAAGAGCATGGAGGAGATTCCAGGAGACAGGCAGTTACTCTAGGAGAGCTGGGCAGGGCCGTAGAAGGTCCTTAAAGTGTTACTAGACCCAAGACCCTGCATTCGCTCTATCTGGTCTCCCACAGTACACAGAACATGGAAGTACAATTATTTTAGTAAATATAAACTGCTAAATACCATTTCTCATCAGCGGTTAGAGCAATCTTGTGACTTCAGTTGAGCACTGGTTAAAGCTTGTAGGAGGAGTTTTCTTTCTGCTCTAGGAGGATGTAAAACCCCTGACCTCTGTCAGGACAATGTTGATTGGCCCTGTGCTGATCACTTGCATTCTCCCAAGAATAGCAATACACACTAAACTGAGCATGTGCAGAAGGGCTATGGGTTTAGTCTGTCTTAGCAGCGTGGACATTTGAACAAGAGGATGGGAAGAAGTCAGGATCAAAAGTCCTTTTTACACAATGCAGAAGATTAACCCCTTAAGTTCCACAGTGAGTATAACAAGCATGCTTTACTGCATATACAGACTGATTTTACTGTTGTGGCTTTAGTAACACATTAACATATCAGCAGGACCGATATCTGCTCCTTTATGCAAGGAGGAACAGGATGTGTCATTGAACACCAGAATTGGCAGGTCCACCACTGGTGCCCTGGGCTTTTCACAGATGAGAGCAGACCCTACGCTGGTGCAGTGGGTCATGGGCAGGGGTGGACTGACAACTCATAGGGCCCCCGGGCAATAGGGGATCATGGGGCCCAAACTCAAAAAAGCCTATGAAAAAGGTACCAGGGGCATCTCATGGGGCCCCTTACTGACCCCGGGGCCTTGGGCAGTGCCCGAGTTTCCAAATGGTCAGTCCACCCCTGGTCATGGGTTTCTCCTGGTGCACGACAATGCCTGGTCTCATGTGGTGAGAGTATGCAGGCAGTTCCTGGAGAATGAAGGAAATCATACCATTGAATGGCCCCCACGCTCGCCTGACCTAAATTCAATAGAACACCTCTGGGATATCATGTTTTCGGTTCATCCAATGCCACCAGGTTGAACCTTAGACAGTCCAGGAGCTCAGAGATGCCCAAGTCCAGATCTGGGAGGAAATACCCCAGGACATGATCCATCATCGCTTAGGAGCATGCCCCAATGTTGTCATGCATGCATAAAAGCACGTCGGGGCCATACAAACTACTGAGTACCATTTTGAGTTGCTACAATGAAATTTCAGCGAAATGGACTAGCATGCCGCATTTATTGTTTCACTTTGATTTTTGGGGTTTCTTTGAATTCAGTCCTCTGTATGTTGA